CTCCACCCCTCCAGGCTCATCAACAAACTKCAGCCGGGCTCGGTGCCGAAGGTCAACGAACCCGCCCAGAACTGGCACAAGGTCAGGGGGGACCCCAAAATGGGGGTTTGGGGGAGGCTCTGGGGGAGGGTCCCGATCCTAAATCCGGCTCTGATCCCCCCCGTGCGCAGCTGGAGAACATCGGGAACTTCCTGAGGGCCATCACGCGCTACGGGGTGAAACCCCACGACATCTTCGAGGCCAACGATCTCTTCGAGAACACCAACCACACCCAGGTCCAGTCCACCCTCATCGCCCTCGCCAGCCAGGTGACCCCCGGGGGGGAAAATGGGGGTCCTTGGGGGGCCTCGGGGTGGGGGATGAGAGGCTGGGAGGGTCTAGAGGGTCCCGGGGGTCACCGGAGCGTGGTCACTTTGCCAGGCAGGTGACACCTCCAGGTGACACCTCCAGGTGACCCCTCCAGGTGACCCCCTGGGATGGGACGGGGTCCTTGGGACATGGGGAGGGGTCCTGGGGGGTTCCAGAGGGTCCCCATGTCCCCTTGGAGGACACCAGCAACAGGCTGCTCCCTCACCTGAGGGGATCCAGAGGGGGTATTTGGGGTCTGGGAGGGTATTTGGGGTCTGGGAGGGTATTTGGGATATGAGGAAGGTGTTTGGGGTATGAGGAAGGTGTCTGGAGAGGGTGTTTGGGGTCTGGGGAGAGTATTTGGGGTCTGGGGAGGGTTATTTGGGAACTGGGGAGGTTATTTGGGGTCTGGGGAGGGTTATTTGGGATCTGGGGAGGATATTTGGGGTCTGGGGAGGATATTTGGGGTCTGGGGAGGGTTATTTGGGATCTGGGGAGGATATTTGGGGTCTGGGGAGGATATTTGGGGTCTGAGGGGCCCCGTGAGCCCCCTCCCAACACCCGGATCCCCACCAGGCCAAGACAAAAGGGAACAACGTGGGGCTGGGGGTGAAATACGCGGAGAAGCAGCAGCGGCGCTTCCACCCCGAGAAACTGCGCGAGGGCAGGAACATCATCGGGC